AGTTCAAAATACCGGGGGGAAGGAGGAGTTTGTGAGAAATTTGTTAATTGTTATTGTTACATGTAATTGTTAATTTGTTATTCTCAAAACTGTCAAAAGTGTTTATATCTATGTACGACGCAATTTTAGTAGAAAAACTCGACCTAAAACACTCTTGTTTTGGAAAAGCGTTATTGTTAGAATGGAGGAATGGGAAAACGTGTTGTCATGCTTGTTTTACAGAATATGGGAAAATCGAAATATTTTTTAGGAAATGGACCTTATGTCCATTACAGATCGCTTCATCGGCGATCGGATTTCAGCGAAGAAACAACGGTTAAAAAAGGAGTAGAACTACTGCATGACTTGGTTGCAACTGAAACTTTTAACAATCTCCAAAAGCTTTCCAATATGAGGCGATTAACCGCTTAGGTTGTTGTTCATGTTCAGCTTTGGATGGGCTTAGTTGATGTTTACATGCTTGAAATACAACATCTGCATGCTTGACTATCTATATTAAGTAAAAATGTGCATAAATGTAAATCAGGGTAGCCTGATACAGGCAGATTTTTATAAAAATTGAATCCTATTTGACATAATCAACAAACTATTGTTTACCAATTGAAATATAAATCATAGATGACATGATATATCTGACATATATGCTTCATTTTTATACTAGACGGCAGACCCATCAATTTTGCATTTCCATTTACAAAATTACAGTACAAATTACTTATTAACTTGTCTCAAATTTATAATTGTGCTGTAAAGAACTCAAATTCTTTAAATATAGTTACAGCTACTGATTTAAAAGTATAATTATCAATGGAAAATTGAGAAATAATATATACAAAAACCAAGGGGTGAATAAGTGAATTTAATTATTATTTAATATACTAAACACAGACACTCAGACACAGTACTATCATAATATTATTTTTATTTTTATTAGTTTTACAATAAGAAATTGAAGGCACAGACAACAGGACTAACAAAGTCCCAAATTAAGTCCAGCTATACATGAAAATACTATGCTATACTATGCTATACTATACTATAAACAACGGTTATAAAATTATAAACAAAATACATAGCTAGTCACGTATTTAAGGTATTACACATAATTACATTCGTACAAAAACTCATAACATGCACTTCTACGAACAACAAGACATAAAACAAGAACGACATTTAGAGCAAAACGTTTTCCAAGTCCTTGGCCTATTAACATCAAAACATTAATTAAAAAAAAAAAAGCATTAACATGCATTAATATAATACCTATGCAAAGTTTTTAATTGAAGAGATATGACTTCTTTGACACTAACCTTCAATGGAAAGCTCATCAAATGATAGGTTTAATACATATACGCCCCCCCCCCCCGAACAGGGCACAGATACCTTCGAATCACATGGAGAATGCTAATATTTTAACACTGTTTTGAGCGTCCTTCTTATATACACCTTCGCTGAAAAGTTTGTATCAATTGCTCAAGAGAATTTAGAGTTATTCAAGTTCTAGCACTTTTTCGACCAATTTAGCACTTTTTCGACCGACTTCTGGCAGAGGTTTGGCTTTGTGCTTTTTTCGCCGGCACGTCTTCCACACAGTGGTTCAATACGGCAAGCGTCATGTAAAGCGCCATGTAAAGCTCACTGAAACCTCTGCGGAGGAGAGAGGTGCATGCTATGAAGACAGAAATACCACCATTCGATTCAGAAATAAAAGATCAACTAGCTCCAAACGATAGTTATAGTCATTAGTATTATAATGATTTATGGGCCTTTGAAAGTCAAATGCGATCGTATACTATCAAATTATGCAATTGTCTGAACAAAAATATAGACTAGCCATACCTTTCGCCGAAAATAACTTCGGCCCCTTCGAGCATATTGTCTTTGTAATAGTTTTGTTAGAATACCCATTAAAAACACTATTTAGAGTGTTATTTGCAAGCCTGTATCTTCAATTCTGTATCTTTTATCAATATATTTCCATTTCTTGTCCGACTTTGAGCTTGAAGTGAGTTAATCCCAACCGGAAATACGACTGAAAACTGTCAAAACAATGCGACGCTTGTATCGTATGACCCTGGAAAGGCCAGAAATGGGATTCGCAAGGTCAAGTTGCACCTACACGTGTGAGTTTGACGTCATCCCGGCCACAGGAGCTCCCTATTGGCCAATTATTGCCCAATGTACGCAAGTGCAAGTAAAACTCAACATCAAAAATTCAAAATAAATATTTCTACTCACTTGTATTCAAACGGAATTTTGTACACGAAAGTGCTTGAATACCAAGAGTATTTTACACATATAGCCATTCAGCAAATGACGAAATGTTCAAGAGATATTCAAGATTTGTTGGATATAAAATTTAGAATCTTTGCCAAGCGGTGAGTAAATATACGATTGTTTCGGTTTGTGTAATGTTTTGACAGCACTTGACCCCCCCCCCCCCGTTCAAAAGGTTATATTGTGAGGATTTCAATGGTGGCATTTATTTAGAAGGGGGGTAAATACTCGCCGAGATATTTATATTAGAAAAATTGAATCGAAATGTAATGCGAAACTGATCTGTCGACAAAGAGTTAAGTGTGGTGGATCTGACATGAAAAATATTGGGTGGTTTGAGAACGGATTCAAGCATTCAGAGTGCAATGGGTTGTTGGTGTTCATGGTGTAAAATGTTCTGTTGGATGATGCACCATCACAACATAGTAAGCCGATGCCAAACCAGAACATACGGTTAAGCTGAACTGCTGTAGCACCTTGTGTTAGAAAATATGCACATGGAAAGTCAAATTTAAAAAATAGACTCCTGTAAAAGAATTGTAGGACATGAGTTGCAAGCTTGTCGAGTGGGTTATTTGTTCCATTTTCTTCATGTATGTCCATAAATCCAATAAGTTCCCATGAGCTGCTGTCAAACACAAGGCCTTCTTTAATTTTGACTTCATCAAAGAACAAACCTCCTAATTTGGCATGTTTGGGCGGTTTCATTTTGTCGAATTTCATTTTCATGCTTTCAATTGTTTCTGAATTCCAACCAGATTTAGGAATGTTGAAGTTCTTGTAGTCTGCTAGGGTCCTGCCACTTCGTAATTTAAGGCCTCCAGAAGATCGCATGCTCCCGTAGATTGAGTGGGATTTGCAATACAATTTTAAACACCACTGTATTACCAACAGGTGCCATTTCATCTGTTTTGCAGGTTTTTGCAAGGCCATTGCTTGGTCTTTTAACAGGATTTCCATAAGTTCATCTTTTACATAGCCAGTATGTTCTCTCATGTGATTATGGAGTAATTTTAGCTTGCCAAAATGTTAATCACATCTTTCCCATTGACATCTGTAGTCCCTTTCTATTGGTGCAACTGCTAGAGTATCACTTTCTCGGCATGCTGTTTAGTGTGGTCATAGAGTAGCTCGATGTTTTCAAATTTTTCATGACACTCTTTCCATTGGCATGGGATTTTGTAGATGATGTTTTTTTTCGGAAATTCCATTGTACATTTTTGTGAACAATGTTTGGAGGTCATTGTTTGTTTTTGGCCCAACTGTGGTCATTTTGTTTCTGTATTCTTGCAAGCGTTGACACCTCCGTTTCCAGTATTTCATATCTTTTATAGCATTCCTTGCATGGTCAAGGAGGTCTTCTTTCAACAAATAATCTAACCGTATTCTTTGGCAATGTTTTCCTTCATAGTTATCCTTAAATAATGGTCTGTGTTTTTGCATGCTTCGCAAGTGTTACTCTCAACAAGAAATATCAAACATTTTGCCAATCTAATTACTTTCTCTTTATGTTTAGACACCATGATATCGATCATTGCAGCTGGAGTGCCATCCTTGGTTTTGAAAACTGGTTGCTGGTCACAAATTTCACCCTGTATTAGAGACCTATACTTGTCACAATTACAACCTTGGCATGATTTTAGTCCACCGACAGTATTAAGGAGCTCAACAAGATCTGCACAACTCTTCAGAGTATCTGAAATATCCAACTGTTGGTTTGAAACGTTCATTGTGTCATTGTTTGCAATTTAATTATTATCTAAGACGAAGTTAGCATAATAGAACCTTATCTAGCATGAACAGAACTCTATTTCGCATAACATTGTGGTTATGAACTGAAACTCAATGCGCTGTTCAATCATCGCCCGTGAGATGCAACCCCGCATGTGGTTATAGTTATCGACTTGATCTGAAAGCAATTTCCTGCCAATTTAATGCTGCGTAATTATCTACGTGCGCGATGACAGAACAATTAGCTACCTTAATTGAAAAAGGAAAGGATTTGCAAATATTGCGCCAAATAACAACGGCCACACATTCACCACACGCAAACGCTGATATTAGACCCGAAGACTCAGTGAGCAATGCCGGCTCACACGATGGTTCTAGACTTTCGACATGCTCGCGTGCAAGCTCAAAATCATCAATAAGAAGCTCGGCTAGCGCAAAATCCAACACAGCCGCGAGAAAAGCAATTCTCAAGGCCGAAGCCGCGGCATTAGAACGCCTCTATGCCATACAAGAAGAAGAGCTACATTTGCAACAAAGAAAGAGACAATTAGAGTTGCAAACATCTATCGCTAAAGCCAACGCAGAAGAACGAGTCTATGCTGCGGCGCAAGCCGAAGCAATGAACAATTTATACACTGTCAATGACGTCGAAGATGTCTCCCAGCAGGAGGTGACCTTCTCCTAGCTTATCTAACCCACTTATAGATGTCACGCACGCAAATGTACTGAGCAATGCTACTCAAGATATAATAAAGTACGCAGCTACCCACCACCCACGTCGCAAAATGAAATGCCAAGAGAAAACCAACAACTGAATCCACGCGCAGCCCATTGGAATTATGACACCTATAACAATGTCTCCCAAGAAAATATGCACGAGACTATCCTCGATAGAATAATTGATGGAAGAATGAATTCTATGAGGGAAGAAGAAGGCTATCGCGAAGCCAGAAGCTTGTTGTTAGAAAGATATGGGCAAGCCTATAAAATCGCCAGTGCCTTCATAGACCGGATATCGAATGGCCCACCGATCAAAGCTGAAGATGGTCTTGGTTTGCAACGATTTTCCATTCTACTGACCAGTTGTTCAAATACCCTGAAAGAGATTGGCTACCTTAACAAGCTCGAAAACCCTGACGGAATGAGGAAGATCATTGACAGGCTTCCGTTTAGTCTGAAAGCAAAATGGCGCGAAGTAGTCGACGGAATAATGCAAAGAGAACGCCGAGATGCAACCGTAAAGGACATTTCAGATTTTATCGAAGCCAGAGCGAGAGTAGCAAACCATCCTATTTTCGGGAAAATATCCAGTGACGGCAGACGGAACGATTCTCCGAACCCAAGAAAGCAACCCTTCAGTGTTAAAAACTACGCAACGTTTGGCGAACAAATCCCACCTACAACATTTAACAAGAACGTGAAGTGTCCATCCTGCAATGAGGATCATTGGCTTTCACAATGCGACACGTTCAAGAAGATGAAAGTCGACGATCGATACAATCCACCGTGCCTACAGAATAACAAGCCAGTCGCAGAACATCGCCTAAAGCTGCTGAAGAAAAGGTTAAATCGAGATCCAGTTGCGTTGGAAAAGTATAAACAATTTATGAACGATTTACTTCAGAAAGGTTATGCAACACCTGTGCAAAACAACAACATGGTCCTCTCGGTACTCATTGGTATTTACTCCATCACCCACAAAAGCCTGACAAGATTAGAGTCATGTTCGATTGCTCTGCAAGGTATCGTGGAACTTCTTTGAACGACCAGCTGCTACAGGGGCCGGATTTGACGAACTCACTCATTGGTGTCCTAACTCGATTCCGTGAAGAACCAGTTGCCTTCATGTCTGATGTAGAGTCGATGTTTTACCAAGTCTGTGTCCGATCTAGCGACTGCGATGCGATTCCTCTGGTGGCCAGATTGGCGATCTCGATCGTACGCCAGAAGAATTCCAGATGAATGTTCATTTGTTTGGTGGGGCCTCGTCCCCAAGCTGTGTAAGCTTTGCCCTGAGAAAGGCCGCAGAAGATTACCAGACAGAGTTCGACCCCATCACTGCTGAAACAGTTCGAAGGAACTTCTACGTTGACGACTGCCTGAAATCCCTCCAGTCCGATGCAAAGGCTATTCAACTGGCAAGTCAGCTACGGGAAATGCTAGCAAAAGGTGGTTTCCGTTTAACCAAATGGATTTCTAACTCCAAGGAAGTCATCAACGCCTTACCTGAATCCGAGAGAGCCGTGTCAATAAAGGATTTGGACTTCGCGAAGCCTCATCTTGAAAGAGCACTCGGAGTCCAGTGGAACATCACATCGGATAAGTTTACATTCAAGATCTTGCTAAGGGTGAAGCCAGCAACAAGAAGAGGAATACTTTCGTCAGTTCCATCTACGATCCATTGGGATTTGCTGCACCGTTCATTCTTCGAGCCAAATTGATCCTGCAAGATCTTTGCTGCAAGAAACTCTGTTGGGACGACGAAATATCTGCAGAAGACCAGCAACGATGGCGATCTTGGTTGGAAGAACTTCCAAAGCTTGAAAAGCTCACCATCAACCGTTGCTTCAAACCAGTCGATTTTGGGGAGATTACATCTAGTGAACTTCACCACTTCTCCGATGCCTCGCAACAAGGATACGGCGCAGGGACGTACCTAAGAATTGTCGACAACTGTGACAAGATTCATTGCTCTTTGGTAATGGGAAAGTCGAGACTCGCCCCTCTTAAATCGGTAACAATACCAAGATTGGAATTATCGGCGGCAGTTGTGGCGATTTGGTTAGACAAGATGGTGCAAGATGAATTGGACATCCCAGTTGACCGAACTGCAGAAATGCCTTTAGGACATATCTATAGACATAGTTCGTGACTAGTATGAACATTGTTAAAATCAATCGAACCGTGCTACAGTAAAAATCACTACCAAAGTTCAAGGGACTTTATATTCAACCGTAATCATAATCGCTACAATTGGTACAAGTGTAAACCAAAGTACGTAAGTTTATAGTTATTGTTGTTATTATTTAGGTTTGTTATTGTTATCATGTGCATGCGTAAATTCTATCTATAGTTATAATAGTTCGTTATTAAGTTAGTTCCTTTTTGCTGTCGCGTTTCAGTTCGAACCAACACACCAATACCTCACCACCTCAACACTACCATACTAAAGTGTGAAAGTACAGAGTGAAAGTACAGAGTGAAACTACCGTGAATTAAAACTACAAAGCGTATATCTTCATCTACATTGTTTGTGATTCATTATCTAACAATTGATTTACGGTCAACTCTTCAAGCTAGTATAATTCAATCATTTCGTGACAACAACAGTCTATTCATTGTTTGACGTGAACTAAAGCTTTGTCCTTTTCATCTGTTGAGTTCGAAAATTCAATTGTAACATTGGCTACCCCTGTAACTCGTCGAGAATTTTTAATTTGGCAACGTAAGAGTTACACCAACCAGTCCAAGTTTATGTTATGATGTTTACCTTCAAAGTGGATAGACCAAGTTCCATCAGCTGTCACCTCTATTCCTCATTCATCTTAACCAGGGCAGTTACCAAACTGATAGAAATGTAGTGTATTCTTTGCATTGCTGAAATAATTAGACCATTGACTAGTATGTTTCGCATCGGTACGGTTTGTAGCAAGGCTGTGATGACAAGTCTGCCAACAAGTTGTAATGGCATTGTTAATGGCAGCTAATAAATTTTAAGATTATAGACGTTTTTAGACAAAAAAAAATACGTTATAAACATCATTATGTTATAAACATCATTATCAGTCGTAATTTGACATTTATATTGCTTGATTTTTTTGGGAAGTCTTCTATATAGTTCGTAGTGATTGTAAGCTGCTTAACATGTTACTTTTCTTTTAGGGAGATTATGAATTATCGTCAGAAAACTGGCAATAATATGGGTGAACCTGCACAACTGCACTCTGTCTGCGGAGATACAGACTTATTCAATCATACAAAAATTTAAACAGTGTGTAACAACTGAATGATATACTTAATGAACAATGTTGAATTTTTTCCAATTATATAATTCTTTCCAAATATTTTTTTTAATGCTAATATTTATGATTTAATAAGATATTTATTTATAGAAAAGATCAAACTTGAATCACTCTTCATCATATGAAGCTGCATCCTCAGTCCTTAACTGTTGCCAGTCTTCTGGCATTATCCCATTGGGCCACTGTGTGGTCTTGCAGGAATAGAAGCATGCCCAAAAGTCCTTCAATTTTTGTCTGTTCAAGCAAGACCTCTCTGATGAAGGTGCACTGTAAAGATAATTTAATGTAATGATAAGTGTATTTGAAGATTGGACCTCCTTACTTATTTAGGGCAGACTATGCTTCTGGCTGGATCTGTGCAACAAGATTTTCCATATTTTCAATTTTGGTATGTACCTTATTATAGGAAATCAACGATGCACTTTATTATCACGAATTTTAAAAATTTGCGTTAATTTAATTAATGATAATTTATGTGATCGTTAATTTTAAGTATGTAATTTTCATTTATCGTTAGTTAAATATACCTAGATTTGTTTTATATAACACTAACTCTTTTAATATCAAAATACAGCATATTAACGTAAACTAAAAACATAAGTGTTCCTCTTAACATTAAACCTTTGTTGTTGTTGTGTCTATTTTCCGATTTGCGTTAATTTAATTAATTTATCAACCATGGAGATCAGATTCGCGTTACAGGTAAACTACGTGAAGCGTTCCTCTTTTGACTTCGTAACTCATTTGGAATTTTCCTCATTAGCTTTGCAAATTTGAAAAACTCTTTGCAAATCCCTTGAGGGAATTTGCAATGTTCCTATCGGCTGTTGCAATATTCCAAACTTCATTTTAAATTTTCCTAACTTCCTGTTTTAATTACCTAACTTCCTGTTCTGTTCTGAGCGTTGTTATTGGTCGATTATTTTTGTTAGCCAATTGCAACACCCAGAACAGAACAGGAAGTTAGGAACTTGTAACAGGAAGTTAAGAACTTTTTTTGGCTTTTAGCAACATTGCAAATTCCCTCAAGGGATTTGCAAAGAGTTTTTCAAATTGCAAAAGTAATGAGGAAAATTGCAATCAATTTAGAAACTCAAAAGAGGAATGCTTCACGTAGTTTACCTGTAATATAATAATAATTTAAAAGACCTAGAAGCAATCTGTGTTAATTTGATGTTGCGTTAATTTATGTTGCGTTAATTTATGTTGCGTTAATAAAGTGCATCGTTAATCCCCTATGAGAAGGTATCTCAATTTTAGGGTAATTATTTACTTTGATACTGATTGACTAAAAATGTTCAAAAGCCGTGAAAAGCCATGAAATTAAACATTAATTGGTGATAGGCGTGCAATTAATGTTTAACTCATTAAGCTGCAGAACGTCCCCATTGACGAGTAAAATCGTCTGGCGTTAGACAAGTAAAAAATAGGTGCAATGTAGCTCAATGGGTTAACCCATAGCCTATCGAAAGGGAGATTGCTGTGAAACTCTTTAGAATAACAATATAACTCATTATCTATGTTGGTCAACATTTATTCATAAATCTGGTCCTTCACCATCACGTGTGCATTGTATTTTTACCCAACTAACCAATAGCAATGTTTTAGGAAAGTCACCTATCTGTGACTCAAACAATAGGGAAACTGGAAATTGCTATTTGTGGGATTTGGTAAAAATACAATACACATAATACACATGTGAAGGTGAAACGACCAGATTTATGAATAAACCTTGACTAACATAGATAACAAGTTATATTGTTTTTCTAATGAGTTTCACAGCCATCTCCCCTTCGATAGGCTATGGTTAACCGGAGACATTGTCAGATTTTTTGGTTAACCCCATTAAGCTGCAGAGCTTTCCCATTGACAAGTAAAATCATCTGGTGTTAGCCAGATTAAACAACCATGCATATTAAACAATGGCACACCTGTGTTTGGTCCCTTTTACAAAGTTTGATAAATTTTTGATATTGAAACTGTATAGTAAATGTACTGAAATGATAGGGAATTACACATGTTCTCGAAGTACTAAATACAAAATTGATAGGGAATTACACATGTTCTCGAAGTACTAAATACAAAATTGATTCAAGTACAGGTTTTAATTCGTGATGTTACTTATTACAATAATTATTTCTTTGTGCAAATCAATGATTACACCCATGACTGTAATCACAATTGTTGGTGCATCAACCCAGCTATTCCAAGAAGTTATAGTGAGTAAATTAAATACATTTAGCAACACTACATACTAGTAATATGATCAGAAAGGTGAACATTCCTTCCCAAGGCCAATGAGAGTATCTTAATTGTGCTTAATGTGTGTCGACTGCTGATGAGAATGATAAACAATAACAATTGTCACATATGACAATTACACACATTTGAAAAAAAAATTATATATATTAGGCCAAGTAAAAAAACTTGGTTAGTGTCTCACCCGACCAGTGAAAACCTCCTGACCCAACTTTCTTTTTCATTTTTTATTGAGTGTCTTGAAAACTAAGACCTCTAAAGATAAGACCCCTAAGACCCACAAAACTTGAAAACTAAGACCCCAAATTTTATTAAAATACAAACTTACCTGAAATTTTGACGTATAATATTTGGGAATCTTTTTTGAACATATGAGAGTTCAGATACAGCTTTACAGTGGATATAATAGTGGCAAAATCATAAAAATATAACTAGCCAGTGCACAGACATGTAATATCATCCATCTCGTATGATCAGAATTCATCTGATTTTGGACCTATTAATTTGTGATAATAAGTTACAAAAAGCGGGAATTAAGACGTTGTTTAGAAGACGATTGTGACAAATATTTAAATAGCTGTTGTGCATACTCCGGCCGGAATAATTAATAAGACGCGTAAATAAATGGAATAATTAGGACAAATTACCTAAATTCGTCCATAGCAAAAATGTGTCTCTAGTTAACATTGTCGGTACCCTGGAAGCCAGAGGGTTGTTTTTCACGTCCTTTATCCTACTGAGAATCACCTCAACAAGTTAGGTTTAAATATTAAATACAAAAAACCCTGCCAAAACCATGAAAAAAAGATTTAAATTTTTTTTCCGACCTACCTAGCCACTCTAATTTTGTCACGAATTGAAACCGGAACCACAATGGATACAAACCACTATTTTCTGTGAGCTGTCTTACAATCTATCAGATGGCTTGGATCGGACAAAGCCTGCTTGCCTATTTTATACAACAGCACAGCACGTAGGCTATATGTAGTTTAAGATTAAATTAAGGGCCTTATATAGGAACATTTAAAAAACGCAACAATTCTTAAACAACACAACATATAGCCCCGTATACACAACAGTCATTTTGGGCACAGCACACTTAAATTTTGGCATGCGGGCCCATTTTTTTGGGCACGGCAGTCTCTATTTTTTGTCTTGTACGCAAAATTAAAAGTCCGCGTATACTCAAACTTTTAGGCGGGCCGAGACCTCCTCAGGAGGTAGTCTCGGCCCGCCTATATAAACATGGTCCGCGGACCGAGAACTTGTTTCGCACGCGTTTTGTTTCTCACATTGCAAATACGTTGTGTTTGTACAAACAAAATATCGAGGGAAAATGTGGTCAGACGAAGTTGTACAAAAAAGCTCCAATATATATTATGATCATGCATAAAGAAACTATTTAACTGGCATTCTTTCTACACTGAAGCGTGCCAAATTTTAAGCGTGCCGTAACCAAAATTACTGTTGTGCATGTAAATGGGGCTAAATATTATTTCCCTTCTCTTCTTTCCATGGAAACAAATGTTCATAGGTTGAAGGTTTATAATTAAATTCTTTGTCCAGGAGATTTAAGTGGGACCGTAGAAGACTGGCTTTACAAGAAACGATGCGTTGAAATACGGGAATCTTTCCATTATGCAGGACTTGCATATGCAGTAATATGTTGTCATTGTTTTGGCGCTCGGTAACCGTTTTGTTTTATCTCGTTGGTCTGGGTACATCCACCTCTCTTCGTGAGCAAGCACTATATCAAAAGGTATTATTTTGGTTCTTCGGATAAACCCAGTCCTACATGTCCTGCATTCAGTCGCTTTAGGGTTGTTATCTAAGAATGTGATGATGAATGGCTTGTCGTTGTGGTGAACGGCAGGATTAAATCCAGCTGCAGCAAATTGTGTTTCTTGCGGTTCGCGTGAACGAGAGGCACGCCAATGATTTTTATTCTTCCCTCCTTTTTTCCCTGCGCAATTATCATTTATGGGTTGTACGAGGCCACATCTTGAACGCTGGTTGCTCTGCTTTATGTGTTGAAGATGACTTTGCAAACACTTTTGTTGTATGGCAACAGCTAGACTATGTTTGCATACAGAGTCGTGCTTGTAAGAATTACAAGCACAAGATATGCAACATTCATTTTTGGTACAAGTATTGTAACCACTTTTCGCTGTTTTTGATGCCACTAAGAACTTGGCTTTGGCTGTCGCATCAAGGTTGGGTTGTCTTTGAATGGCATTAGGACTGTTTACTAAGACACTAACTTGCTCAATTGAACCTTTGATAAGCTCATCTGAATATCCCCTCTTTTCTTTCAGTTGTTCCTCCACGATATTTGGGATATTTACAAACTCTTTATCTGGTTCATAGTTTGCCATCAAGTCATCATTGTTTGGCAATCGTATCGGCTTTTCTTCCAAAACGTGTTCCACAGTTAGTTCATTAAATTTATTAACGTACCCTTCTCACTTACTTTCCGACCATTCTCCAAACCAAGTTTCAGGGCTAACCTGAAGATATTTGCATATATCGGCAAGTTCATATTCACCACTTCCACCACAGATAGCTGCTCACAATTCTTCCATTTGATGCTTATAAGTTGGAAAATCTCTGTGGCAAACTGCAGTTTGGATAGATCCTGTTTTCCCTTGTTTTTATGAATGCTTCTTTACGGTGAGTCAAAATGTTGTTTAGACTTTCCGATTGGTGGTTATAGCACGTTTTTGGTTTCCCATGTTCATCAAGTGGAAGTCCTGCTTTCGCGTGAGCTTTTGCAATCATATTCCTTCCAAAACATAACAGAATTCTTGTTCAGGTACACCCAGAACTGTGACTCGTAATTATCTCCTTTCTTTAAAACCTCCCTCTCCTTATCTAAATCATCTTTTACTGAGTCCAGTCTTGCTCTAAGGTCTCTTTTTCCCCATGCGTCAAGGATGCCTTCTTCTTTATCTTGTTTGCCAAACACAGTTTGAAGAAAAAATTCTTGTTGTTTCTTTTCTTTTCTGCCAAGTTCGCTTAGTTTGTCTATACAATTTCTTTTAAAATGGATGAAACAACGGAGACCTTTGGCGTGTTTCAGGCATTCTTCCAGACTTTCATGCAAAGGTAAGTCACCGTCCGTTATAAAGCTCTCTGCTTTGTTTGCAAGATCAGGAGATGCAGATGTAACTTCATCCACAATTTTCTTGAAAGTTGCTTTTGTCTTTGAGTGGTGCAAAGCTGTAGGGCCAGTAAAAACAGGAGGAACTTGAGTTCTTTTGGACTTCAGAAATGTCTATAAGAAAATGGAGTGACTTCATATTTTCCAAAGGAAAATGTTGGGTCCACACTTAATGGATAAGAAAGCAATTCACTTGTACTAAACCGATAAAGATCTTTGGACATTTGGTCTGTTCCAAGAATCCATAAGTCCTCGGGTAAGTCATGATGAGAAATTACGATTTTCTCTTCGGTTTCCTTTGCATATTTAAGTAGCTTGTCAATGGGATCTATTGCAGTTTTGTGCAAGTGGCTGAGGTGATAAACCTGTTGCCTTGATCGAGGAAGTTGACCGATGTTCCTTGGTTTCGATGGTCCACCAGCTTCTTTTTTCACATCTTCGTACACAGTACTTGCTGGCTGTTTGGCTACTCGTTCTTTAATGGTGTTCAAAACACTTTTTTCGCAAGGATAGAACGGCTTTTTCTCTTTTGAAGAACCATGGCTTTTAACTTCAAACTCAACAGTATCTTCGCCAGTACTTATGTGATATTGCAACAAGCAAACATTATTCAGTACAGCTCCTGACTAGCCAAGAAGCAATATGATGGACCTACACAAGCCTGCATGATTTTTCTTCAAATTAAACTTTAGATGATACTGTCCATCATATTTGAGCTTCTTGCTTTTCCTGCTGATGATATTGTACTGGACTTGAGATGGAGGATATTCCTCAATGTTAAGGGTCCATGTGCTTTGTTCGGAGAACATATGGATAAGAGCCATCATGTCACTTTTGATATCTTCCCATTGCTTATACTTTGTAGTGTCCATAAGAAAGGTTCTATTAGCTCTCACTCTCAGAGGCACCTTGGTACACTTTGGTACATTGTCAATATTCTTATCAGTTAAAATCTCCATAGCCTCCATTGGCGTGTATCGCTCTTTCTTGTCTTGTTCAAAGATCGGTAGACTTTCGTCATTACAATAATTCCTCATAGGCATGTTGAATTCCTATGGAAGAAAAAGTTGGAGCTTTTGAAATGCAATGCATCAGCATGCTGATGAAACTGACTACAAGCAGTAAATGCTATTATATTCTATGATACTATTGATTTCACAGAAATAGGAAGTACTGTAACAACTACAACCATTCCAAAGCCAAGCCAACACAAACAACACCACAAATGCAAGTTCCTAAATCACAAAAAGCAAAACGGTGGCGAATTGCTGAGGTTTACATGACAAATCCACTTGAAAAATCAATGTTTCTTCAAGACCTTGGCAATATACCATTTTATAATTGTTATTGTATATCGGTTCATCGTGACAATTTTATGATCTATTTTCGTATGGGACTGGTCAAGTATAGTACGAACTGAGGTCTGTTTCTCTCACTACCAGGGCAACATGTGGTGAGGTGAGGTTTCTCTTAACCTTAAAGCGAAAAACTGTGGTGTAAACAACAGCGTACTTCTAGTACTACACTCATGCTCATTTGAGCAACATGAATATCCTAACCTGCCCTGTCACCTATTAAAGGACCCAGAGTAAACTTGTGACTTTTGCTGGCCTCCCATACGTGATAGATTTTTGAAAGTAGCTAAATAAAAGGCGGCTGTTTTCCCAGGCTACAATCTTGGATGTAATAACTGGTTAAGACTATTATCCCCTCAATACAAAATTTGCATACTCCTTATGAAAAATTCCATGTTGAATCACATTGCACTTCTTAACCCAACTCATTGTCATATCGGAGGGAAGACAAAGTTTGTTTTGTTAATGTTCAATAACTTTGCAATTTTGGCTGGAATGGTCTCAAGAGTTTTGTCCAAGATTGTAGCTACTTAACTAGATCGTGCCTCGCATGTAACTCTTCAGCGCAGTGTGACAGCAGTGCATGGAGACTGAGCTGACTAATCGCAACACAGCATTGATACGTGCAAACTTGGAACAACAGATCATAGTCCAAAAACAAAGCTAACATATATTTTAAATTGTTTAAAAAATAGTTTGCATGACTCATAACTGGAATTACTGTAAGAAGCCCCCAATGAACATTGTTATTTCCAACGTTTCAAGTGAAAAAGCTTTTTGCTTTAGACTTGGTATATCCATCATTGGCATTATGAAAATTATCGTCTTATTCGAAATATTAGTGACATTCGTATATCTCATTTCCACCATGCACAGCTATACCACTTCAGCGGAACCTTTGATGTAAACATAAGAAGAACAAATGTTGCGTTCTTCTTATGCTTACGTTTATGCACATCAAAGGTTCCGCTGCTTGTGCTTATGCTTATTTCATCGTGTGAACCAGGCTTAAGTCTTTTATGAGTTATTACAGTTAATTTACAATAGGAAAATCTAAAATTATTGTTCCAAAAAGTGCAAAACCCTAGTTAGGTTAAAAAGACGCCTACATAGAAAGACACGCTTAAACTGTTCGGTTCTAACATGCCGGGAAATATAAAAGTGATGCTCATGTTTGCAATTAAGTTACTTGTTCTTTCAGGTCATAAAATCGTTGGATGGCAGTTTAAAAACTTCTATAATACAACATTTAAAATGAACTGATATGTCTGTATACCTCATCTAAAATTTGAAAAAAAATTTAAAATACCTCAGCGGCCTTGGCGTTTAGTCCAAAATCGTCCACAACTTAAAGTTCTTTTCTATAGAAAGGTGATCTAGACCCCCTGACACTCACATGTACTGATCTTAGAATTTCGAAAGAAATTCTGGTTCTCAACCACGCTATGACAACTGCATATCGTTCATTATCTTTTTCTGATGTTCATTATCTTTTTGATGGGCTTATATAGTACAAGGGAGGGGGGAGCTTATGTATGGAGGGCTTTTGTATGGAGGGCTTATACATGAACGATCTTTTGTAAGTCATAAACAAGTCAGTCATAAACAGGAAAATAAACATGTATTAATAAAACGCTTTGATTAGCATAGTAAGATATAAAGATAATTTGGGGAGCTTACACACGGGGGGGAGGGAGTGCTTATATTTGGCGGGGGGATTATATTCGGAGGTTTACAGTATGAAATATTGTAAATTCCAAGAAAGTGTAATGAATTAGCCTTTTTCAATTGAAATGTTTCAAACCTTAAATTTTCCCACAACCTCAAAACACCACAAGTCAGAAATTTAGATATAAATTGTATTTTAAGGCCTGCATGTCCACGCCCTACAATTAATAATCATATAGAGTGCATATATCACATAGAGTGCAATTATAAAAGTGTACATGTTGTAAGCATCAGTAAGCAAAACAAAATACATTTTACCTCATCTGGTGATACTTTTACATGGATATCCTTATATAAAAAAAAATGAGGGCGCACCAAGTAATTGTCCTCTACATCTGTAACAGAACTGTGGAAATACATGATAGTCATGATAATATTGTTACATGTGCATGTTTTAAGGGGAAACAGGATGGTAGACCTCACCTATTTAGATACCCTGGCATTAATAACTGAACTTGTGAATAAAATAACAGACAAAAATTAACTGTAAATAGTTACAGTAATTATATAACCGTCCAAAAACCGAAAGTGCTCCCCAAAAATACTTAAGGCATGGAATGTGGAACAGAAAATGATCTTCATGTAAACTACTGTTACTGTATTTAAACCCAATGTGTTTAAAGCTATTTGCTATATAACAGTTGAAAAAGAGAAGACTAATGAAAAAACGTACGTGCACTGCTCATCCTGAGTCCACAGATAAAAATCAAGTTCTTCAGAAGAGCTGTGACTTTCACTTATGTTTGATTTCTCATCCACAACTACTACTTGATGTGATTTTTCTACTGACGTATCTATCACTTGATGCATCATTATCACTATAATATGCTGAAGTACATCTAAATAAGGAATAACAGCAAATTACTAACATCTATTTTCAAGTTTCATGTGACATCACAAGGCCAAAGGGGTCAAGGCCAAATTAAGGTCTGTGTTAATCAGGGTTTAACTATAAACAATTAGAATTTAGATATATTGGCACCAGCGCAATTTATTGCCAGCTCTGATAAGCTGAAACATGAAATGATTACACAGAAAATTCCCCGCCATTTTCAAAAGCTGCAGCGAAATGGACAACAAAATATAAAACGCATGCAACAGTTCAGTCTTTTAAACATAAAAAGTCTTTGGGGACCCACAGATATATTACACATTGCTGAAATTTTGCATCTTTTGAACTTTTTTGAATTGAAATATACTCTAGTTTATATTAATTTACAATTGCGAACCAGAAAAGTGTTAGATATTCTGTTAGTATGTCTTATTTTACAAATATAGCAGTTCAAAATGTAAACAAAGTCAAAGCCTTAATTGTTTATACCTACAGACTGTACCACATCTAACCCTTTTAAGTGGCAATGCGCCCTACTTTATTGTAAATTTACTCTCACTGTCTAACGCCAGCCAATTTTACACGTCAAGGGGAGAGTGCTGCCACTCGATCAATGGGTTAATATTGCTTTATATTGGCTTTTGTGCTTAGTCAGTGAATCTTTTACAGTACATACATAATTTTGGAGTTTTACTAATTAACTTTAATATAACCTAATTTTCCTTAGTAGAAATATACTTTTTGGTTCCAGGTATGATCAAGAAATGTAGATTACTTACAACCTATCTGCACTTCTTATGCGACGCCAGGCCTCCCCATCCTGTGTAACATCAGCAAATGATGGTTTCCTAGGGATACATGCAGTATGGTAATAGTGAAACATATGATAGTATAAATCAGGACCATCAGGTCCAAACTCAGTATACAAAAAATCCAATTTCTGCCTTAATTTCTGCATGCCCCCAACCTGATGTGTTTGCCCTTTTGTTTGAATTCATTATAAACAAATACATTATAAACAAATCCATGAAATTAAGCTTCATTGTCAAATCAATCCAAGTTAAACCCATTAGGCTGCAATGTGGGCCAACCAATTAGGCAACAATTATTGTTGGATGAGGTTGAGTACATGCATATGAAGAATTATCCAGACTGAGGTCAATGTTATCTGCCGAAGCCACTGAGGTCTGGATAAGGATCTTGATATATACAAAAGCTGAATTCAATAATTGTTTTATTATACGTACATCAAGAAAAGCTTGTCAGCTGTTGTCACATTACTTAGAGGCAATTTTCAATGTCGTTGTAGGTGGCAAGATATTGAGTACTGTCTGTAAGGATCTTAGTCAATCACAATCGAGATTGTATCGGTTTTGTATAATACTATTACTAAATTGTCAAGGAAGAGTCTTGGGCATTAATGGGTTAATTATATTTGGGTCCCCCAATATATTGTTTTTGGAACTTTATAACTTTGAAAATGTAACAATAAATAGAAAACCTCTGTCAATAAATAGCCATTAAACTGCATCATAAAATTATTAGTTTGCCTCATTAATTATATGCAGTACACATCTGGTTTGCTAAGATTAGCTATAGGGATTAGCACTGTAGCTCATCTTTGATATTTACAAGAAATAAGTTTTGTCTACTTTGAAATTGAAAATTTTTGTGAGTTCCTCTGTAAATGGTGGGCCACTCGACATTGTAGATGTCCAGTAATAACAGCCCTAAAATATAGTACCTTGTCACAGTGGTGGATTTATGGGGGGGGGGTGCACAGGGGTGGCCTTGGTCAACATGAGTGCAAGGGGGGGGCAAAAACTTTTCAATGTTTGAAGTATTCAAAGTTTGTTATCACTCTTAGACTAACTTAAAATTTCAAGAGTATAAAAAAAAATTGGGTCATTCCAGAAAAGATCACACTCCCCCCACCTTCCCCCAAGAGGAAATTTCTGCTGTCCGAAGGTGAAAAGGGAGGGAGAAAAAATTGTTTCTGATAATAGTAAGTGTATTAGGACATCTGAAGAGCTAGGGTAGAGGTATCGATTGTTTTCTGGAATGACCCATTCTTAATTTTGCTGCAAGCATCCAACATTATAACTACAAGGCCTGTTAGTATCAGGGTTGGATATAA